TCCTATTCAACATTCTATTCAAACTATATATTAAGTCCACATTATAGCACTTTAGACATCTTAACATCACTTTTAACAATGGTCTATTATTGTATCTGACATTAACTAGGAAGCTACATGGCTTTACATTAACAACAATCAAAAAATTTTCAATTTTACTCACAGTTTTTACTTATTTAGTTCATAAACTTTTTGAGTTAAATTTCTTACAGATGAACTTTTTGTTTTTTTATACTCTTTATAAATGTAACTTTTCATTTTCTTTCTTCTGTCATTATTGTAACTAAATTAGCTCTTCACTCCATTGGGTTATCTGCCCATTAACCCAAACAATTTGTTACTTAATCTTTAATTTTTTTAATAGTATTTTAAATACAACTAATCTTGACATACCTGCCAATCTTGTTTCTAATTTATATACAGAAATTCTTACACTTAACAGTTTCAAACTGTATAACTCTTCATACATATCTTTACTTATTTTTATCCTATCTGGTTTAGTTTTTTTCAATCTTATTTCTATTATTCACAATTTTTCTATTTCTTACTATACTGCTATTACTCTTTCTATCAAACTTTTTCTTCACTTAAACCAACAAATACACAAACAAATATAAGTTTCATACTGTATTTCACATTTTGTATAGTCTCAAACTTTACTTTCTACTAAACCAACTTATAGTTATTCTTCTAGTCTACCTTCATCTTCTATTTCAATATCACAAATTATTACTAAAATTGATCTTTGAACTATCTAATGGATTAAATATTATATTCTTCTCTCTCATATTATTACTCAAACCCAAATCTAGATGAGTTTTGGCCACTCTTGTAGGTTTAGATAACAGATTATATGTCTGAGTCTTTATTCTTCATAGTAATTTAAAAGCAATCTTTTCTTTATAAAAACTTCAATTGAATTTCAATAAAGTTAAAGACATAGCCTTATTGTTAATATTTAAAAAATATATATATAATTTGTAACTAGCAGATAAAACTAATAACTGACAGTAAGAATATTGAATTGTCAAAATAACAAAAAAACAAATAAACAATACCTCTCTGATACTTTAAAAAGGTTAGATTGAAAGACTATTAAATTAGTAACAACATCCTATTAATGTTCCTTATAAATAATATAACTAAATAATAATAACTATATAAAGTTAGTTTTAGTTAGTATTATTTGTATAATCTATTTTTAGTTTAATAAAGATTCAAATTCATTACACATTAAAAATTGTATTATAGGTGGATTCTGTTGACTTACTTTGGTTCAATGAATACAAGTAGAGTAAGTCATGTAAATAAGTACTTGTATAAATAATAATGTTTATTAATTTTATAGAATTTATACTAAATATAATGTTAGAGTTTTATTATAGATGATTACAATGTATTGGAACTTGTTCATTACTAAAGCAAATGAGACATATTATCTCTTAGAGCCATTTTGGCCTTTATTTATATTTAACTTTTAATTATAACTTCTTTAATTACATTAATTTCATTTCTCTATTTAATTTGACTTCTCTAATTTATCTACTTAAACCATTTTACTTAATAAATACTCTTTAGCTATTAAATCTCTTTTATCTATTAAATCTCGCTTTCTTGATTTATTTAATTAATCACATTAATGTAATTAATTGCAGAGATATCCATATTAATGAATTGATTGCCATATCTGCTCTTATATGAGGTCTTAGCAGAGCATTTTTATTATGTTATTGGGTCTAATAATTGCCTCTTAGTAATAGTAATCTTTAAATTTCTCAGATAATAAAATTGATTCTAATAAAAACATTTAATTATAATTAGTATCAGATTTCTTTGTTTAATATAATTAAATAAATATCCATACTATACTTATCTTCTAATTCATAATTTTGTTAATTACTAGTGAATTAGTTATGCAAAATTTATTTCTTATATGACTTGGTAGTTACATAGTCTATCACACTAACTAATCAGAGCAATTTATTTTAATTATTCTTAAAATTCAATTACAATGCATAAAAGTAATTAAAATATTTATTGCTATTATTGTTTAGGAAGAGCTTATAGATTATCAGTACAATTCAACTCCAATAGTGCTTTTGTCTGTTATTTTAATTGTATTATTATTATTGAAATTATTAAATCAAATAAAGTTTTGCTTTATTTGATTTAAATAAATTAAACTTGTGGTTTTGTTGTATATTATTTTTAATTATTAATTAATATTTGTTAGTTTTCAATTAAAAACTAATATATATTATTTTTAATTAGTATAAATTTGCAAATTGAAAAAAACTGTTAGAAATATTTATATGTAATTAAATTTATACAAGCTATATTGAAATTTTTAAATAAAACTAAAAATATTTATTTTAAGTATAATGAATTTTTTTTATTACAAAAGCAAGATTTAGTACTATAATTTATTTTTCAAAATTTGAATAAGCTTTTTGACTTGAACTATAATTATTTGATTATTACTTCAATTCAAATTATATTAGTAAAATTTTTTTTAACTCTTTCTTAAAGAATACTATATTGTATTAGTTTTAGTAAAATTTTTATTGAAATTCAAATTTTTTATTTATTTCAGAAATGTATAAACTATTTGTTCTTAGGTATTTTTAAGTTGAGCATTCTTTGTTAAGATAAGAATTATTTATTGAATTTATTAAAACTAATATCTTAATTTCCTTCTGGAGATGTCTTTTGAACTTATTATGTAATCTTTTAGTAATTTAATTAAAATCTGAGTGTTAATATTTTGATTTGAAGTTAAAAGTCAATTTAGCCTATTAAATTGAGTTTCAAATAAATTATTAAATTTAAAGTTAAATTCAAAGAAGTCAGTTTATAACTTTAAAGTTTTCAGATAAATATAATTTATTTTATTATTGGGAAATATTGAACATGCATTACTTTATTAAAATTTTAGTTGTTTATGTACATTTTATTTTTACAGCACATTTTAATTCTAATTTTAACAAATATGTTAACTCCTATTAGACAACATTATTTATTTAACACCTTAGTGATTTTCTTAGATTTTAGTATATATGTGAGTTATCTAATCAGAATCATTTAAGCCACCAAATTATTATATATTTTCTTTTTAATATAATTCTTTGAAATTCTTCTAAAGGTAAATATTTGAATATAAATGCAAATAATAAATAAACAAAAAAAAAAAATATTTACAAATTCAAGAAATAATAAAATAAAATAAAGTAAAATAAAATGGATAAAATAAGGAAATTAAATAAAGCTAAATTATATTCATTAAAATACCAGTTTACTCTGTTTAAATATAAAATTTTCATATATTATGTTTTAACTATTCTTGGAATTAATTTCAATAATTAAAAGGTACCTATTTTTGAAGCATGATAAATCGGATGTATGATAATGTGTATAGCATACGTAATACACATAATTAACATAGCACTTATAATTAATTTATATGCAACATTGTACAAGAATCAATTTTTATTAGAATGCTAAAAACAGTTTCATAATCAAAAATTTGAGATATCAATATTTACATGATTTTGATCTAGAATATTCTGAAACTTTTTCGCGTACTGTACTGTACGTGGCACATCGCTAAGTACCACAACCTATGTATTCATTAAATGCAATAATGATACTCCCACGTCTCCCGTTCCTGGTTTCGCATGATTGTGTTGCACAGCTATCTTATGAGTAAAGTGTCTCTATGCAAATATATGCTTTTTTGAATGGATATTTCTTTTTATATGCTTGCTTATTCCTATATTTATTATAGATACGAGCTTATTTGCTAGAAATTGTGTATGGAGCTTTTTCGTCTATATACAACTTGATTTTCCTAATTTGCATATGGGCTTCTCTATCTATGTGTAGCAGGCTGTATCTTGATTTTTCCTAATTTGTACGAGCATGCGTATTACAGTACAAATGCTGATTTATTATACTTACACATATTACTAGACATTCACGATTCTAATTGTTTATTTCATACAGTAGTTATTTTTGTAATCGTAATTCAGAGTATTGCAATCTGAGTTCTTGAAAGTCATGATCAGAATTTACTTGAATTTGCAACGTAAGCATTTACCAATCATATTTTATAAAAAGATACATTTGACCAAACGGCTATCTATATAGTAAAAAAGCGATATAATAATTAACGAAAGGGTGACATGCCGAGTAAACTATAAGAAATGTAGTGAAATTTTAAATCTGTAATGCAATTACATAACCGTAGTGCATATATTTGCAGCATGAGATGTGTGCCACGTTGTGGCATTAACAAAATTCTTGTACGTCTTGAATTTGCGTCGGACTTATGGCACAGATTTCCTGAACTACGAATCAGATTCCAATATCAGGTGGAACTTAACGCCATCAAGAAAATTCAAAACAAACCTTCATTTGTTAAAAATTACTTATTTCTCAAAAATCAGCATAAGTAACCACCTTCAGTGCTCTAATAAAAGGTATCATTGGCAATTTTACTGTATAAACTACTCCATTCTAATTCTTAAACCTGATCATAACCCTAATATAAACATTCTTTAAAGAAGTTTTACTGCACCACGAACTTTGGAAAAAAATTTTAATGGGTAAATTTCTGACAAACGAACGTTTGCTTTGAATCTTTCTGATAATGTCACACTATATATAAGCCTAAAAATTTATTTGTCCGCAATACTGCGACAGCCTATAAATATACTAAATGCAATACGATACTCGTTCCTGTTTTACGTGACAACGTTGCGCAACTATCTTATTTGGAAATCTCCTTTTTTGTGGCTTTACCGATTCAGTGATACAAAAAAAAGGAAGAAACTATAGAAATTTTTTATTAAATTTCTATTTCAGGCATAGCAACAAACAATCGGATTTAATAATCACCTGGATTGTATATAACCTAATGATGCATGAAACTAAATGGAGTCGTTATACGTATAACCTTGTAGTCCAACGATCTATAATCTAATAATAAAAGAGCAAACATTCTAAGGGAAAATTGAAAGAACTGATCGCTTATTCAAGTTATCTCGTCTTGCAGTTGTCATCTTTGAAGTGGAAAGACGAATATAATACGACAGTGATAAGCAAATGCATTCTCTGAATGAATTAGACACATATACCCCTATAATCCGAACCAAACGTAACACAACTTCAAGCACGAAATTTGTTGCTACGTGCTACGTGTTATGTGTACGTGTTATTAGATATAAAATTCAGTTTCTACATACGTACGTACAGTACGTACTGTATTTCTTAAAAGTCTAATGGCAATTTATGTAAATACAGCAAATACAGTATTGTGATCAAAATTCAATATAACGGAATTAAATTCATTTATTTTGACTTGAAAGAGAAATTATTTTAATATGAACTTTAAAATGAATTTACTTTATGATATTCTTATTTTTGTCATATTTAGCTCAGTATGTTGTTTTGTTATTTGTCAGAATGGTCCTTCCGCTAGACGTGGGCAAACTAGCTCATTAGTTGGTAATAGGCTTTATTTTTTTGGTGGAGAGACTATAAATTATGGAATTTATGTTGAGTCAAATGAAGTTTGGTACCTTGATTTATCAAATTCATTTAACATAACTACACCACCATGGCATAATGATATTGGAATGCCAGTAGGATATATTCTCGGCAGTTCATGTCTTAGTCCTATTGATAATTTTACAGTTTTTTTAGTTGGTGGAAGGACATATAATCCAAATACTA